AATCATCGGCTGCCCACTGACACTGCGAAACGCTATTCGAACAGGCAAATTGTTGCTTAACCAAGGGAGTTCATGGAAGAAATGGTGTGGCCAGATCTGCCGAGAATGAATCCATTCTGCTGTGACTGCCGTCGCATCAAAATCCACGAAGAAATTCTCGCCGTCAATATCTTGAACGTAACCCAGCCACCACTGGCCGTTGTCACGTCGGACCAGCACCGTGTTGCCGTAATTTACATGGCGCACACCCAAATGCAGCTCGTGGAAATACAACGATGTCGCGTTCATGGCAACGGGAAACAGTTCTAGCAAAGCACAGTTCCGGGACAAATTATGTGATTACGATTCCTTCAGGGTTTATTATGTACACTGGACCTATTAAGATAAAACGGGTGACTAAATGAGCCTGGCTCTGAGAACGCCACTGATAGTCTCTAACAGCAGTAAAGCTTAAAAGCAAGTAAAACTTAATCTCCGTAACATATGTTGGAGTTCGCTTTGAAAATGTTGTCTGGTATCTCGAAGCAATTTGAACTGAATATGTAATAAATTTACATTTAAAAGGTTGCATAAAACCCCCGGAACCGGATAGTGTCCGCGTTTACTTTTTGCTTTGTTTCAACACAAAATTTATGGAAACGCAAAGCGGATACCAAATAATAATTGTGATGCGTTGTGATATTTTGTGGGTTGTTGCTGTTCTTCAGCTTGAACAATTTTGTTTAACTAAACCTTGAAGGATAAAGTATATTGGGCAGTGAGATGTTAATATTTCCTCCGTTAAAGACTTTGGCACAATTTCAGCCGAATACCGAAACCGCACCTTCTACATACATCATTTTTTGTGTCATGTTTTTAGTTTTGTTGGTTTTACTGTTATTGCTATTTTCTAATAATCATATGCTATGCGACATTTTCAATAGCTTATTAATTTTTAAGTTAATTATACGACACAACGCACGATAATAAGCTGACCCGCGAAGCCGGGATCAGCTAGCCTCCGAAGCAATCAGTAAAAATAAACGAAATGGCTACGCGCGACAGCATCTCGCGCGAGAGTATCTCCCGCTATGAGTTTTGGCTACGCGCGAGAGTTTTCGGGCCGAACGAAATTAAAAACAAAACGTTATAAAGTATTCAATACTTTGTAGTTTATAATATTTGTCATGTCATGACAACCTGTTATTAAATGCTGTAAAAGTCACCTTTGTACATGAAGGTAAGTATCATAAAGTACAAAATGAAGTAACACAATATCGAACCGGCATCTCGCACACTGCGCTGACCGGCATTTCTGTAATAATTAGCCACACAATGACACAGTAATAAAGATCGGCGATCAATTCGAATCCTACGCTGCGGCTTTGCGCGCTATCGAGGAATGGAGTGAGTCAACGCAACAAGTTTTATAAATCCCGGTGGCAACGCAAAGACTTCAGAAACGCACCCACTGCACGACACCTTCCCGTACAGTTCCGAGAAACTGGTATGCATGAAAGCCGGCGTCTATCGTCCCCATCGGCGAGGCTCACTTCCAATAAAAAAACTATCACCGCCACTCCGAAGAGCGACTGTCAAGCAGCTATCCGCCCGCAGCTGGCCAACGGAATGCTGGAAGTCATCCACGTGCCGGCTGCAGAAAATCACAACCACGAGGTGTCGCAGGCGCTAGCACAGCACTTCCCTGAAAGGAAACGGCTGGCTGTCACGGAGGAGAAGACCGTGGAGCATCTGATCCTCGGTCGAGTGCCACCGAGAATTATTGCGAGCACTGTTAATGCTTCCCGTCTGTCGAGCGGGACAGCCGGAACTGTCATCACGAAAGATATATACAACAGGGGAACGAAGATATATACAACAGGGGAACGAAGATACGAATGGACAAGAGGCAAGGGCGGGAGGAGCACGAAATTCTCACGGAATTTCTGCGGGAACACAGGCAGAGATATGCAACCGGCACTTGTGATGTAGTCGTGGCGGAAGACGGAACAGATGCGTTGCGCATCGTTTTCGTTCAGACCACTACCATGAAGCCAACGTTCTCTCGCAATCCTGATGTGACCTACATATAACACAAGCTGCGCAATAACTGCTACAGAGCTTTAACTTACCTGTTTTACGTTTTGGTTGAAAGTGATTTTTCTGCTACGCAATGCATTTCCTCAGAGAGGCGGGCTAGAACTTCCTGCAGAGTTGGCTCTGTGCCAGCATAACGACTAGTGTTACGCTAGAATTCGCTTTCATGTCCGCATGCATGGAGGTATCATCGCTGTACAGTGGTGATAATCATTATGTGTGCGCCTTCTTTAACTCTCAAAACCCTGGCGTGGTGCGAACTGCTCCACCACAAATGCCCACCGATGCTTTGAAATTGAAACCTAACTTCCTGTTCTCTTATCCCGACACCAAAGGCCAGATGGCCATCGAATACGTCCCTGTGTACGCCCAGTTTCCCGGCAGTAACAACTGCTTGGTATATGCTTTTGCGTATGCGTATGACGTTTTGTTGAGAAACAGGTCCAGAGCGCAAATTACGCCCGGACGAGGATTTCCGACAGCGGTTCTTAGATATCATACAAACAGGAACACTGACACCTCCTCTCGAGTACAGGGAAGAAACGCACGAAGGAAAACTTCTGTGACCAAAAATAATACTGTCGTAACGGCAGCTGATGTACTGCTTATAATTCGCCGGCTGGGAATGCCTACCGGTTTCCGAACGACTGCGGTGTGACTGGTTTGAAGTAAATTGACTGATGCGACAATTTAATGCACTATAAACAACTGAAATTATGTCAAGAGCCGAAATTATGTCGAAATACAATACATTGATTATATTCATAAATAGTGGCTCCAAAAAACTCGCGCGTAGCCAAAACTCATAGCGCGAGATACTCTCGCGCGTAGCCAAAACTCATAGCGCGGGAGTATTTTCGCGCGTAGACTCGCGCGAAAAATAAAACCACTTACGCATATAAGCGGTTCAGCAAAAACTGCGTTTGCCTCATTGCCATCAGCCTTCTCTACGCACCTTTTGGCTAAAAATTACAATGTGTGGGTGCGGTCTTTTGCGATGGCTGTTTTATGACTAATAATTGATAGTTCGATGCTTTCAAATAACAATGCAGCGAAAGTTTTTTATTATGGCTTCAAAATTCTCGTTAGCAGAGGGTTGAACTGCCTCCTTCGAATCCATGAATAATCTCCATACCTCCATTTGTTTCCAAAATACGGCCAACGGTATACGATTGAGTCTATCGGCATCCACGAGTCAAGTGTTCAGTCGACTTGAAAGTCCGTAAACGGTGACAGATTGAACATCAGTGAAATTCGTATAACTTTCACATGGTATTACGAGTTATGAAAAAGTGTCGAATCTATTCTAGTCATATTCGAGGGACTTTGATAATGTTTAAAGTTTAGTACATTTTACATAGGGTACGGTCGACTGAACGGTGGTTCATCGTTATGCTGGCTGCTGTTGAAAGATTCGACTTCGCACTGGTTCTGCCTTCTTCCAGTTTTTGTTTGCTCGGAAATCTGGTTAGGAACACAAAGGACGGAATATGGGTATATCGCAATCCTTTCCGCGAGGCCGTAGGTGAGTTTGCAAGATGCCGGTGTCGTTTTTTACAACGTCTGGTCTGAGTTTGGCTTCCTGGTGAACTGTAACTGTGGGAGCAACCGGATTCGGGCCATGGAGCCGTGCCATACTGTGGCCACAATATGCCGATCGCAACAGCAAACACCAAAGCTATGACACTATGGCATTGTGAAGCCATCTTGACGCTTGGAACTTGAGCAGTTATTCGCTGATTCACTTTTTAGCTTTCGGGCAGTCAACTTTATACACTCATGCTTCAGCGAGAATAATAGGTGATTAATCAACATCAACTACTCTGCAACACAAAAAATGTGAAGAATTTCAATTACCAGCGGCTTTCAGGTTGTTTGTTCCAAAATTTTGCAGTGTTGAGCTGCTTGGACATTCGCCTAAATCTCATTAAACGTTCTCTTAGGCATTGTGGTACATCATATACGGTAACATCATACATCATACTGCTCGTTAAATCTGCTTATCAATAATGTCCTGAGTCATGACAGTTCCAACAAGTACATAGTACATACAATAAATACTCCTTTACATGCACTCCCATGATACGTACACCTCCCCTATTTTATACCGGACCTCTACCGGGCTTCGCCTTTGCGTATTGAGGAGGCTTTTGAATTTTCGATGTATCTGAATTACTGTGCAGTCGTTAAGAAGTTATTGTGTTTAAAAAATACATTGAAAAGGATTGCATAATCATAAAACCACCGGAAAAGATAGTATGTATCCGTTTTGATATTGTATTATTTCGGTTTCGCCGGTTTGTCGGCGCTTGCGGACGGTAAACAGTAAGCGTCCCATCTGGCGTGGAACAGATAATCTAACGCAGTGTTTCTATTCCCGATTCACGAACCGAACACTTTCCCGAATTCCACCAACCACAACCGATGTGTGGCGCAATAGAAGTCACCAATGAGCCCGTTCTCCGCGATGTTAATTACGGTACGCTGCCGTGTAGCACTGTCTCCAGTAACGCATCAGCAGAATTTCATGCCGACACCTTCCGCCTGTCGTTTTCGTAGCATTTGCCTTCATAGCATACGCATTCCCTTTAAGTCACGGAAGCAAATTCTTGTTTATCCCGGCGATCGACGATCACTGGTGACTGTGCCAGCTTGGCTTTACTAATGATAAAAAAATATCTCGCAGTTGCTTTCAAATGTAGCAATTTAATGATTGTCTGTTTGCGCATTTTGGCAGATGTGCACAGCCTTTTAATATTAAGCAACACAAGCAAGTGAGGCTACTGATTAACTAATCAGCGGCGTCTGGTGAATAACAACACGATGCATGGAGCAAACTGATAAGATACGGCACAACAGATGGTAGCGGGAATGCGTGCTTAAAGGATGATATACTGTATTTCTCATTACAGTTGTAAGTTGTACTTGTAACATCCACCGCTTCTTGTCTGTGCCAAGACATGCTGAATTTCGAAAACGTACTACACATCTGGAACTCTGTCAGTCATGAGAAAGCACGGTGTTTCACCTCTAATTTGTACGAAGATGACCACCGTTCGGTGGACGCATGGAATGCAGTGGATGTGGAAGTGGATGGAATGCTGCAGCACGGCCACGTGATCGACATACAAGATAGCGATCCACTGTGTCTGATCGTGGATTTCGGTTGCCCCTCTCAACAGTCGGTGTCAGTTGAATACGGAAGGGCATTCGGCTGCTCCAGCGTTCCGGCAGACGAGCGGCCGAAAGTCCGGAAAAAGAAACGCGCACCAGAATTAACGGAGTACCCAGATATGCAAGCCCTGCTGCGGGCCTGTCCTGATCAGCCTTGGATATGGTATCCAGCCAGAATAATCATTCCACGCTTGATAGGTTTAGCGAACTTCGTGATAGTGGAAGCAACATTAGCCGGTCAGGTAATCCGTGAAATACTTCCTCGAGTCCAGATTCGGCCATCGCCATCCGCATCTGAGCTCCGGAGTAGAATAATCCAGCTGGGACATTTCTTCATTACGCTGAACAGCCTGGGCGACAGGTATCTAACGGTGGTGACGGATAAGCCAATTCCTTCGGACCAAGGACGCGAAGGAGAGCAGCAGTGCGTACTGATCGCTTACCTTCGTTATATGCAGCGCCGCCGTAACAATCTTGCCAAAACTCGAAATGCGGTACAAATGCACATTGATCACATTCCACTTTGCTGTTTGCTCATTAGGAATGCTTCTGCTTTATAATGCCGTAAACACAGTCAATTGCAGTGTCAGCCAGTCTAGCGCGCAGCTGTTGAAGCTACAACATACATGCAAATGCTCATTTAGCAATAGCGGTTTTACTGCACATCGTACTCGTACTAAGATATCGATGTTAAACATCTTTCTCTGTAAAGTGCTTTTTTACCCGCTGTATTGCAGGCAGTGACCGGTGAGTTTTGCCATGTATCGGAAACAGACGATGGAATGGGTACTATGTCTGGCGCCTGGGAGCGCGGTTTATTACTGCCAGTTGTGCTTTTGGCGGAAGTCTTCCAGTCAATGGATTCCATTCATCGGCAGCAGTGCCGGCGCGTCTGTCGCCTGTGGGGGGACATTATCATCTCTCCGCTGGTTGCTCAACACTTTACCGTTGCGCTGCCAACACCGGTTTCCAATTCGGCCGACTATGGCCGCGACCGGAATGTTAATTACGTTACATACAGCTGCATTTTAAAGCAAATTACCAGTGCCACGCGAACCATCTGCTTGCGAGATAATGATTATAATCGGCACGAAGTCGTCGCTCAATTGGATAGCGACACATTGGCCGGTCAGACGATGCAGTATATTCAACAAATCCTGCAGAATGCCGGTATTCGCATTAATCGGTTGGTGCTGTATCGGCGCTCAATGCAGATGAATCGCCGATACTCCTTAGCGGCAAATATTGACGACACAGTGGAGCTGTATTCCAGTCTGGCGTCCTGCTGTGATCACATTATTTGGAAGGAATGCCAACTGGGTCGCGACGCTGTAACCTTCAACTTTCCTCGTACGGTCATCAGCCTTGATTGCGTAAATGCTTCAGGGCTATGGGAAACGTTTGATCGGCACATTGCAAGCACTGGCCGTTTGGATTTAGAAGGGATTGTGCAGTGGACGTCTGGCGCGATTAGAGAGGGAAATAAAGAGCATAAAAGAAAGCTCATCCAGGTATTGGCTTCGCAACAGCAATTAATAAAAAATTTGCTAATGTTGTTCAATATAATTTCATGTCAACGGCAGTGGCCGGTTCCTTTCCACAGATCCTTCAGGAATATCAAGTCGGTGATCCGCGCTCATCCGCCCATTATTCTAATACAAAATGGACTCTGAAGAATCTGCAGAGTTTGGATACTACGAAACTGAATAAAATCTGTGTAAATGCCTTATCGCATTGTGCCCCGATGGAGTACCAATTCATGAGTGAAAGCTCGGAGGAGGACCAGGAGTCGCAGGATGATGATACAACTTCGGAAGCAGAAAGTGAAAGTTCTACGGAGGAATCAATCGATGATTAGCAGTAATTTTAGCAAATAAGCTATCACGAATGATCCTAGTGCTTATATGGTTATAATCGGTTATACGTATTAATGTATTTTAAAGAAAATAACAGCCTCACGTACTTCGCTAGATCCTGAACAGGAACAGCGTTGTGCTTCAGTGTTCGTTTATAATAATTAAAGTACTACACATTCTTTTCCATTCATGCATACACAGAGCTTTTGGTAATTCGCATGTCTTCAATGACAGAACAACTATCCCGTGGTTGGCTGCCTTTACTATTTTCCGATGTATCTACCTGTATGTCGTATACATTTTCAACGACACATCGCGGTAAAGTGTCCAAGCAGATTTGCTTGAGATGAAATGGGCACGCCCGAGTTTACTATCAGCGAGCACGGTTCGATACTGCCAGTTGCGATATTGGTGTGAGTTTTCCAGGCATTGGATTCCATCTCTCGGCAGCGATGCCGGCGCGTCTGTAGCCTGTGGGAAGATATTGCTACTTCGCCGCAACCTGCTCAGCAAGTCAGTGTAGCTTTCCGGTCTCACTGCATGTCTATCATTTGATTTCGAATGCGTGGAATATTATTTGACGTTCAGTTGCATCCTGAAAGCAGACTACTAGCGTCCCAAAAACAATATGTGTGCGGGATAACAGAATATACATCAGTACACAATCAGAGCCACTTTGGACCTCGGCGCACCCACCGGTCAAACACTGCGTTATATCCAAATATTTATGCAAACACTCGGTGTCTGTGTGAACCGTATAGTCCTGTATCGGCATTAGCTGCAGATGCCGGAAGACCGGTATTCGCTGGCTGGGAATATTGGCGATATGGTGAAATTTTACTCCAGTCTGGCTCAGCTGTGACCGCCTTATTTGGGAGAAATGTCATGAAGTCGGTACTTTCTTAGTTATTAATAATTTATTAACCGTTGATTAGTATGACAACTGAATGAATGAATAATTAAGTATAACACAAATAAGTACAGTAATACTACACTGACGCGGAAGACTGACGCTCTGAGTAGGAATTAGTTATAAAAATAGAAAACATTTATGCACTGGCAGAGCGTATTTCACCGAAGCATGAGTATAATGATTGACAAAGATAACCCTCTTTATTCCTTGATTTCTACAAATGAATAAAGGCAGCTACATATGAACTACTGTATTAGATGTGCAACAGTGGCGAGAATTAGCATGCTAACGAGGAAGCCGCGTCGCGAGTTCGCGACTACGCACTCGATGACCAACCAAAAATATTGTGCCGCATGAAAACTTGTTTCGTTGCCCACTCACGTTTCCGTGAATGTGAAAAAGTATCACTCAAATCTTGCGACACTAAACTTAGCAAGCGCTTAACTGTGTCCAAGAAACAATGCACTCAATTTCCTGGATCATTTCATTTGAAATCCGCGTCTTTCATTCCGAATCAACACGCTAATTCAGCGTGACGTGGCGCAGTAGACAGTTATGTTAAGCTCACTCACAACATACGCACAGCTATAGTACAGCCATCCGTACTGGCTGGTACTGGTAGTGACCGGTCAGTGCTAGGAGGTAATACAGGCTTATTTCCAAATGCCGGGTGCAATTGTAAAACAAAACGCGATTGATTACTGCTGCAAGCCAAAAATATCGATCGTCTGATATTTGCAACTGCGGCGCTTTATTTTCCTGGCATTCGCTCGCACAACGTCCATCTGGTCCATGCGGCAGGGGCCTGTCTATTACTGCTTTCGCTAACTCGGTCAGCGTTATTGATTAAAGCCATTCTGAGCATCTTGGCTGGTTGTATTATCGAAGCATGTACGTGCCATCATGCTGCACGATTCTCTGCAGGCTGCAGCTGATGTCCAAATGCATTCTTAATTTCATAGCCTTAGAGAACTCGCATCAAACGTTTCAAGGATTGATAAGTATTGTCGAATAAGTATTGGCTCAGCATGTAACGAGGATAATTATTCTGATAATAGGAAATACATAATTTTCCTCTAACAACCAGGATATAGATGATTCTATCCCCTTTTAACCCAAACGCAGTACTAATTTCGTTGCAGCGGTCATTAAATTACGGAAACTCTTCTACCGCAAATTTTAATTGGAATTGTTGTCGTCTTTGCAACGTCTTAAACCAAAAACCAGTTATTTTTATTAAAGCCGATCTGCGAAAGTTTATTCCAACCGGAACACGGTGTTGCAGGATAAAAAGAAAAATTCGCAGAAGCTATGGGGAAATTTTTTGATGTCTTCAAAAGCTGTTTGGGACGTCGGCCGCACGAATCCCCGAAACGCGTGCGAAAGGAATACCGACGCTACACTACCGATTTCAGCGTCAACCCGGGGAGCAGTTTCGCGGTGAAAATGTTCCGAGCTGTAATTGGGACAGCGGACACTCCGGATGCCAATATGGTCATCAGTCCATACTCAGCGGAAGTCATTTTGGCGGCAGTTCTTCCCGGAACCAATGGTGAACTGAAATCCGCCCTAACAACGTTATTATGCCAAGATGGAAGAGATCTTTCCGAGTTGGTTAAGCATCTGGAGGCGGTAAATACGGACGGTGCACTGAAATCAGTTAATGCTGCGTTTTACGACGACAACTGCTGCCTGGCTCCAGAATATCAGGAGGCGATCGAAACCCGAATGAAATTCGGGTTTGTTAAAACTCCCTTTGGAAATTCGCCCAGAGAAGCAGTAACGACGGTGAATAGTTTTGTGGCAGAAAAGACTGAGGGAAAAATAACGAGTCTGCTAAGCGAAGTCGATCCGAAGACGCTGTTAATTCTGGTGAACTTCATTGATTTCTCCGGTCCGTGGGAATTTCCCTTCGATAAAAACAAGACGAAAAACGGGACATTTTATTGCCCGAAGGATGTTGAGAAAACGGTGGATTTCATGGAAAACAAAGAAGCTTACCTCCGTGCACTGCCTCGCCACCAAGGCGAAGAAACGGGATACCCGTAGATGATAGTACTCGATGTCGTGGACAGGAAATTCAGTGTGATGTTCATATTGCCAGCAGAAAACACTGGCGGAATAACCAGTTTAGAGCAGGACTTAACTATTGAAAACTCTTATTGTGACGCGAAAACACCTGTGAAACACCGTATCATATTGTTATTCCGAATTTTCGTATTTGCTACGGTGCTGACATGAAACCGGCCGCGAATGCGATGGGGTTGCAGGAAATGTTTCAGCCGTCTGAGACGAACTTTGGTGGCATGTTTGAGGATGACCGACGGCCTAAACAGGTTGACCAGTTCCGGCAAGAAGTGGTTATCGGTAAGACCGTAAACTTGATAACAGTGTTCGTTTTTTCTGTAATTATTATCTGATGTTCTAATGTCACAGAAGTGGACGAATACGGTGTGAAAGCGTCCGCCGCTACGTGTTGTGGGTTCGGATACAACTGTTTACCATCCGGACCGAATGTCGTGGCTAATCGTCCATTCTTGGTGATCATCTGGAATGAGATTGCTAATGTTCCAGTTTTATGGTATAAAAACTGGAACATTAGCAATCTCATTATGGTATAAATTTTTATGGTATAAAAACTGTCGAGGATACGCGTGGCCGTATGGGCGCCACGCGTATCCTCGACAGCGAACAGCGGTGAACCCGGATGAGGCTTTAATGCCGAATCTAATGCGCACCGTGGCGCAGCAACACCAGACTAATGAGGAAGGATCCTGCAGCCAGTGCAACTGTGCTGCAGGTCCGTCAAAACAGCGCAGCAATGCGCGGGGTGGAAATCCCCAGAAACAGCGAATAGCTACTCAGGAGGGCGGGGCGTCCCGCCCTTACAATGGGTCGCATCACGGATCCCAGTTAGATTTTTAATGGGACCAACATCATGACCAAATTGTCCTGGACCAAATTCAAGAAAAATGCGACAGCCGCGGCTTAGGCCGTATTTGGTGGCGAATCAGGACTCACCCGCCAACTTAGTATCGTTCACCTGTATAAATATAGTTAGGGAATTGCATTGAATTAATTGCTCCTATGTGCGATTTGCTGAACTTAGTATCTGACGAATCGCTCTCAGCTTCACCCTTTCGACTGTTTAGTCGTGTAAATGGAGGAGTAAATTATTACGAACCCATGGTCTATGCGTCGCCGTACCGGGTGGCCCAACAAAATGGCGGGCTAGTTTTTCATTGTGAATTGGCCCCGCCCCACGTCCGATTGACTTCATTTTAGTTTCATTCGAAAGAGAAATTCTTCAAACATAGAACTGCTTAGTCATATTAACCGTAAACAAAGATTTAACTTTTTATTGAATTATTTTAATGAAATAGGTAGAATTTGGCGGTGACCCAGAATCGAAAATTTGATTTTCCCTCTTAGCAAATTAAAATCTGCTATTATTCAGCTTGGTAGAATAAAATTTGTCGCTTTGATATTTCAGGTAGAGGGATTGTTTCTTGTATTTTTACTGTAAAGAGGTGCGGTATTCCGGTCAATGCGTTCGGTCCAGAAACTGGAGAGCTGGAACGCCGGACATTTAATTTTCGTGAAATCCTCCAGCACCATTTTCAAAAATCAATTTCTTACCAACGCTGTAGAAGTGGATCTAAAACAAACTTGTTTTTATAAGAACAATATCTTAGCTACACATAACACCTAAATTACCCTGTTTTGTTGCAGCCTGCCATGCAGCAAAAAATAATTAGTAAAAACGCTCAAAAATTAATAAAAAAATCGGCATTTTTGCCAAAAGTGAGTCGAGTGCATTGCTCCTCCAATGCGAGCACTATGGAAACCCATTTTTGTAGGCTGATAGAGTACGTCTGTGACATACGTCATTCTCTACATGAAACAGTTTAAAACATTAAAATAGTTCATATGGATAATAAGTGACACACAATTTTAGAGTTCAAATGCTGGGTCACAGTACGCTTTTGCACGATTTCAGTTGGCGCAGCTTTTGCGAGCGTGTCACAACTTATCCAAAAAAAATTTTGTACGTTTAGTAGCCAACAAAATCTGTAATTTAATGAATCTAAAACCATTGCTGTACGACAACTGGCTCACCAACAGCAAACAAAAAACTGAGACCGCCATTTTGTTGGGCCACCCGGTAAATATACGGTGCAGAATGGCTGGTAATTTCAAGCATGTGGTGACCCTTGTTCGCCGATAGCGGTCCCGTTATCAACGACAGTAAAATGGCTTCACTTGCTTTGGCTTGGTTTTTTGCGGCACATTCCATGGGTGTAATTGCAAAAGACTCACTCGACAGAGTACATACAATGTACGACAAAAAGAGGTTGAACCGATCAGTCGGTCCGCGGTTCAGAATAACCTCGCAACGACACGCCACCACTAAAACTTGGACGCTTACTCACTACTTTCAGACGCTCGCGCTCCGTGAATATCAAAGTGCAGTTATACTAGTTGCATATCAAAAGGTGTAGAAAAAAATTTTAAACTTTTTGATACTAAACCTGTGGCTGTTTATGGTGAACAGCACAAATTCTAGCCATTTTGCTTTCCCATAGACTTAAGCACTGATTGCAAGCCAAACGGTTATGCGCACAGATCCTATGCTGTGCCTACGAGAAAGCAAAATGGCTAGAATTTGTGCTGTTCGCCATAAACAGCCACAGGTTTAGTATCAAAAAGTTTAAAATTTTTTTCTACACCTTTTGATATGCAACTAGTATAACTGCACTTTGATATTCACGGAGCGCGAGCGTCTGAAAGTAGTGAGTAAGCGTCCAAGTTTTAGTGGTGGCGTGTCGTTGCGAGGTTATTCTGAACCGCGGACCGACTGATCGGTTCAACCTCTTTTTGTCGTACATTGTACAGAGGACAAAAAGTAATCGGGTCACCTTTTGGTGGCTTGGCTAAACAATAATTATGACTGGTTTGCATACAAGCGTACAGAATCTGTGATGGGCTTTAGGATTTCACAAAATGACTGCAGTAAATTATGATTTATCTATATAAATCCTAATATTCGACGAAGATTGCTGGATTAAGGCATATCAAATAATTGCTGGGGTTAACCATTGTCATCGACAAGTATTATTGCAGTATAAATTTAATATTTTTTTTCCGTTTTAGATTCTACGCGGGGAATCTTGCTAATAATATTACGGAGTGCGTACGTTTATTATGAGGGTAGTAATGCAGAGCTACTGCAAATGTCCACAAACTAGAGTAGACAACTGGTGTTCGGTTTATTGGTTACTTACGCGGGCTTCCCGATTCTAGGGAGACCCAAGAAAATATCAGCCAGCTTCAGTGTGTTTCTTCTTACAGATTAATTGCTTTGTTGCTTCATCAGTTGCTTCATCTCGAAAATGTTTTAAATTAAGCTGAGAGTTGCAGAAATAGAATAGTTGTGGAAACAGTGTGCCATACGACCAGGAATGTCCTGTTTTATCACCTTAACATATACCTCCTCCTTTAATTAGGAATATCGCTGTCCGACGCTATGGTACGACTAGCAACAGTATTAAGGAAATATCAAGGAAATAGATCTGTATTATGACCGGCCGCCCCGTGGAACTTGGCTAGAAAAAACCGCAAAGCCAATTAAAAAACCGATTTCAACATTAAACTCAGCATGTTCTGGAAGGGTCCCACATGCATTTTGTTTTCAAGAATATCTACCCTAGGACCATCCCTCGGATGCCGATACCGGTACAGGCGTAAGTTCAAGGTGACATTGAAAGACCCTTTAAAACATTGTTGCGTGGAGCAATATGACCATAATTAAAATTCTAATGTAGAGGAGTGTAATAAAAAAGAATCTTTTCAAATAAATTTACAAAAGTTCCAGTTTGTTACCTTTCTGCAAAGCACTCCAAAGTGGATTAGCTCCAAAAACTGTTAGCAAAACAAAAAAAACACCAGATTTATTTGTGTACAACTACAGTCCACCAGAAGAGACAGTTCGACAGTTCACTGCATAAATTTTCCTTACATCGAAAATATCAAGAAAATTTTATCGGCTGGAAGCCTTCACAAGGAGAAGTGTGTCGGTATATGGAAGTGATGCATTTATATGCACGGAAACTTCAGCTTTCGCGCGCTCTGTTGCATTAAAATACGTATACATGTTTAGTTGTTTACAATGGATATGAACGAAATGCTGTGTCAACCAGTGAGTGTTTGCCACGTGCCAGGCCAGCCGATTAAATGGAAATTACAAGAACTAGATTACTGTTACCAGGCCTAGCATTAAGAAAATAGGAGACCGGAACCGACAACCTTGCCGGAACCTGCCCATTGCTGCTCGGTGCTATGGGTACTTGAGCTGTCGAATGAACACAACCACGCAAAGCGTAACACTGATCACTGAGCAAACCTACTGAAGAACAGGAAGGGTACTTGGCGTCCGATCATTTCTGATGAGTAAACGAAAGTCTAATAAGTTACCGGGAACTGGTAGGGACCTCGTATTAGTGCTACCCAGTAAAAGTTAAGACAAGATAAGATGGTTAGCGTAAGACGTCTCGGTGGCGTTAGTGCTACACAGCTGGGAACTTTTGATCAGCACATGGAAAGCACGGGTCGTTTGGAACTGGAATTAACAATGCGGTGGACATTTGGCGTGATAAATGGGGAAACAAAGAAATCAAAAGAAAGCCTATCCAGTACCGGTTTCGCAATATGAACAATTACTGACAAATTTTGGAGTTTTGCTTAGGCTACATTTGTGACCGGCAAAAATGTCCCCCCTGTCCCCCTGGACATTTTTGCCGTGTCCCCCCTGCCACCATCTCCAAAACGGTAACCCTTTAGTCAGAATGGTGACGTGGGGGACCTACAACGGAAAGCTGATTTTCAGGGCGATCGGTGACCTTTGAAAAACTGCCACCAGCGTTACCACAGCGTTACCAGTCCAAAACAGCTGAGGACATCAGTCACCGAAGGGACATTATTGCCGGAACGAATTTAGTGATGTCCGGCATGGGGGACATTAATGCCGGAACGAAATTACTAGTATCCGGCATGGGGGACATTATTGCCGGAACGAATTTACTAGTATCCGGCATGGGGGACATTATTGCCGGAACGAATTTACTAGTATCCGGCATGGGGGACATTAATGCCGAAACGAATATAATGGTGTCCGGCATGGGGGACACTATTGCCGGAACGAATTTAGTGGTGTCCGGCATGGGGGACATTATTGCCGGAAGAAAATTACTAGTATACGGCATGGGGACATTATTGCCGGAACGAATTTAGTGGTGTTCGGCATGGGGGACATTAATGCCGAAACGAATATAATGGTGTCCGGCATGGGGGACATTAATGCCGGAACGAAATTAGTGGTGTCCGGCATGGGGGACATTATTGCCGGAAGAAAATTACTAGTATCCGGCATGGGGACATTATTGCCGGAACGAATTTAGTGGTGTTCGGCATGGGGGACATTAATGCCGAAACGAATATAATGGTGTCCGGCATGGGGGACACTATAGCCGGAACGAATTTAGTGGTGTCCGGCATGGGGGACATTATTGCCGGAAGAAAATTACTAGTATCCGGCATGGGGACATTATTGCCGGAACGAATTTAGTGGTGTTCGGCATGGGGGACATTATTGCCGGAAGGAAATTACTAGTATACGGCATGGGGGACATTATTGCCGGAACGAAATTACTAGTATCCGGCATGGGGGACATTATTGCCGGAACGAATTTACTAGTATCCGGCATGGGGGACATTAATGCCGAAACGAATATAATGGTGTCCGGCATGGGGGACACTATTGCCGGAACGAATTTAGTGGTGTCCGGCATGGGGGACATTATTGCCGGAAGAAAATTACTAGTATCCGGCATGGGGACATTATTGCCGGAACGAATTTAGTAGTGTTCGGCATGGGGGACATTATTGCCGGAAGGAAATTACTAGTATACGGCATGGGGGACATTATTGCCGGAACGAAATTACTAGTATCCGGCATGGGGGACATTATTGCCGGAACGAATTTACTAGTATCCGGCATGGGGGACATTAATGCCGAAACGAATATAATGGTGTCCGGCATGGGGGACACTATTGCCGGAACGAATTTAGTGGTGTCCGGCATGGGGGACATTATTGCCGGAAGAAAATTACTAGTATCCGGCATGGGGACATTATTGCCGAAACGAATATAATGGTGTCCGGCATGGGGGACATTAATGCCGGAACGTAATTAGTGGTGTCCGGCATGGGGGACATTATTGCCGGAAGAAAATTACTAGTATCCGGCATGGGGACATTATTGCCGGAACGAATTTAGTGGTGTTCGGCATGGGGGACATTAATGCCGAAACGAATATAATGGTGTCCGGCATGGGGGACACTATAGCCGGAACGAATTTAGTGGTGTCCGGCATGGGGGACATTATTGCCGGAAGAAAATTACTAGTATCCGGCATGGGGACATTATTGCCGGAACGAATTTAGTGGTGTTCGGCATGGGGGACATTATTGCCGGAACGAAATTACTAGTATCCGGCATGGGGGACATTATTGCCGGAACGAATTTACTAGTATCCGGCATGGGGGACATTAATGCCGAAACGAATATAATGGTGTCCGGCATGGGGGACACTATTGCCGGAACGAATTTAGTGGTGTCCGGCATGGGGGACATTATTGCCGGAAGAAAATTACTAGTATCCGGCATGGGGACATTATTGCCGGAACGAATTTAGTGGTGTCCGGCATGGGGGACATTATTGCCGGAAGGAAATTACTAGTATACGGCATGGGGGACATTATTGCCGGAACGAATTTAGTGGTGTTCGACATGGGGGACATTATTGCCGGAACGAATTTAGTGGTGTCCGCCATGGGGGACATTATTGCCGGAACGAATTTAGTGGTGTTCGGCATGGGGGACATTAATGCAGGAAGGAAATTACTAGTATACGGCATGGGGGACATTATTGCCGGAACGAATTTAGTGGTGTCCGGCATGGGGGACATTATTGCCGGAACGAATTTAGTGGTGTCCGGCATGGGGGACATTATTGCCGGAACGAATTTAGTGGTATTCGGCACTGGGGATAATATTGCCGGTTGTGAATTACTAGGTGTCTGCAAGGGCATTATTATGTACTCAGTACAGCAAAGGAGTGATTCACTAGGTGTGCCCGAATGGGCTTTTCTTAAGCGTTGTGTGAAACTTTGGAATATGGTTGAGTGTTGAAAGGTCAAATCGCTCTTTTGCTGAAAAGGCGGAAGATGATTTTGAGGTATTTTTCAAAAAAATTCGGTTTTGCTGGTTTTTTTAAAAATTACACCTATGCAAATGTGCCTCTTATCAAACAGCTTGAAGATATATTCAAAAAGTTTTGTAAGTGTTGATCGATCAAGTTTGATTACAATGTTTGTTAGCTGAATGATGGACGGTTTTCTTTCCATCAAGTTATCCATGTAGTTGCCAATGCACTATGGTAGGCTTTTCTTCGATGCTTGCTCGTGATTTCTTGAAAACATTTATCAGTAGTAAAGGGCGTCCCGCAAGGCGATTTTGGTCTCTACTTCCCCACTGGACATCCGGACTACAGTTTCTGACGTCATATTATTAAAACAAAAAAAATTCAAAGAAAAATTAAAAAATAAATTTAGAAAATTATATTTATTTACTAATTAAACTCACCAAGGCGGATTAAATTAAATTGGCCAATTTGTAATGTAATCTCAGGAATCCACGCAAAAGCAGCTAAGGATTTAACACAACCACCAAAGCAGAAGGGATCAATCAGCCGTTTGTATTCACCATAGCTGAAATCACCAGATCTGATCTCAAAAAAGCGGACGTCCATAAAACCGCTGAAAGTAAAAACTCTACAGCGTCAATACAGGGGTGTCAAAAGGAAGATCACCACACAGGATAAATAAATGCAAAGGCACAACAGCGGCTTCTCATCATAAACAGTGAAAAAATCAGGAAATATTGCATTCTAACAGGCCTTCCGGAGCGGCTGCGGGAAAAATCTATGGATAATTAAATTCACGACTGCCGCTCGGCACATGCAGATCATCGTGCCGTAGCGTCCATAAAGGGCGCTGTCGTAGAAGTGCAAGCAGATCCCGGCTGCTCCGCCGCAACGCCACAGCGGACAAGAAGGTCTCGTTTCAGACTGCAATAGCGCAGCATAGTGTAGCGTTATGGAGAGAGAAACGCATGAAATTACGTGACAGATTTTAAAGGCGGTGATTAATGAGATCACACTGCATTTTGGTCAAACAAATTTTTTCTTAAATAAAAAAAACTTAAAGAACGTGATCTCGTTGATGATTGAGCCTCGTAATCTGGCACGTAATTTCAACGATTTGTTTATCTACACATCAACAAAATAATTTAACGAAACATGTACTCACACTTGACAGTATAATTTCGGGGCTGTCTGCGTGAAGTACCGCATTTGTTTGTGAGCAAGCGGAATCCGTAATGACTTCGAAAACACTTGGCAGCGCATCGTATTTCAATCAGTTTTCCGTTTGGTGGGAGCGAAGTGCGTGTGAAAACGTGAAAATATCTCGCATGAAAGGAACGGAAGTGCTTGCTCAATGCAAACGTGATCATTCGGGTGCAGAAAATCGAAGAAACACAAAATCTGCGGTGAACACAATATTAGCAAAAAAGATATTACTAACTAATGATCCTAACATATATTAACACCAAGATTGTATTGTGAATTTCCGTAGCGTCTTACAAAAGCCTGATAGAATTCGGTGCTTCACGGGTCGGTAATAACAAACAAATCCACCTGAAAAAAGAACAAAAATAAATAAATTAAAAACTTTTCTTTTGGCTGTCTTACAACACGCCGAATAGAAAATACTTACAACACACCGATTGCATATACAACGATGATACTGAGAATTCTATAATTTCTTGCTCAGATGTACCAGCCTGTTTGTTCTCATAGCACGTGGCTTCGAAATCAATCACAATCAGGTAAACCAGTGCATATTCAGGCTTATTTCCGGCTGACATTTGTCGAACAGAACTACCAGCTCCCGCTATAAGAAACAGTCCCATCAGTTTTCATCCCGTATTAATTCATAATTCACTTTTTAATTCTTATTACATAAATAAAGTAATTTTGTTTTCTTTATGTTATTCTAATTCATTTTTAAATATGTGCATTATCTTTGTGCTGTTTAAAAAAATAACGGAATCTGACGGGTATTTACGTAATTTATTTTGACGATTAAAGTGTGTCTTACCATAAGTTGTTTACCATCGGATTTCAAGAAACGACTAACGTAATCTCGGATGCCATCAATGAATCTGCAATAAAATTATTAAAATCATTACTAAAATATCGATCTGTGCATTCCCACAGGCAAAGGCACACACTCAGCTGGCTTAACTGCACCATGCCTATTAAATTTACGAAAATTTCATGAAAAAGAGGATGCAACTCAGATATTAGTAAATAAATAAAGAGCGACAGTACAGAATATAGGAAGAAATCAAATGAAAATAAAATGAAAATTAAACCGAGAAAATTCAACAGCATTCTGTGCAATTCTACGTAGCATATAAATTGCCATCAGAATAAAAAATACAAATTATTATCAGAAAGAAACCCAGACTGCCGTCAGAATAAAAAAACCAAATAAAAATACGGAGAAAACAGCTTAATTAAGCAAAATCATCTGCCAGTCTGCACTAGGCTTACCTGCGAGTCCGCCAGTCCAACGTCTCCCGTCTTTCGTCCCGTTTACCGTCGCTTTCAGCGTTGTCTGTCCCAAAATCGTCCTCGGGTTCTCCGTCGTCTCTGCTTTTGTCGTTATTCCCCATCGTCTGCTGTTGTGGGCCACAAATTTCTCAGCCCCGCGTCCATTACAGCCCCGCATCTGTCACAGCCCCGCGTCCGCTACAGCTCTGCGTCCCTCACAACCCCGCGCCCTCCGCAGCCCAGCTTTTTGCTATTCCCTCGGTCTCGCCACCCCCCCTCACCCCCCCCTCGCTGCGCTGCCCTTGGTTGTACTGTTACCTATAACGCCCCTGTTTGTACCGTTACCTTTATGCCTTACAAAGCCACACTGCGCACGATTATCGTCTGAGAATTTTATTTAGTTAGTTACCTTCGTATTAAAAGAATTGCCACAGAATCACCAAGTATACAGTTTACAAGTAACAAATTACTAAAAATTACTTCGCCATCCTATTTCATATATCTAGTTTAATTTGGCTAGGCCAAAAACACTGGATATTGTCAAAACTGCTTTTTATGGTAAAGATCGTCGTCCAAGTCGGCCTTCCATTTGGCCGCCTGTTTCATTTCTTCATGCATCTGGGGCGTAATTTTAGAGGCAAAAAATGCCAAAGGCACTAAAAAATAATTAAATTACCTAAAAGCTAAGAAAATTTATAAACACGACTTACAATTTGCCTGCTGAGCGCTACGACGCAAAAACGCGATGGTGTCCGCATCCAGATTCAATCTGCGGATTTCTTCTGGAAGATCGCTGTCCTCCGGAATGGTGGATGAAATCTCGTTGCTTTGCTGGCTGGCCATGTTGTTGGAAATCTTGAAATTGTAGACTGGAGATGACTGACTGAATTCATTCTCACTAGCACAGACTTATGAGGTTAGAAAAATCTTTAACTGTCAACACGATGGAACGTGATGTTCCATCACTTTCTGTTGAACAATCGCATTGGAATGCATACGTTTTCGATTGCGATTCTCCCTAAAATACAATATCTATAATTTTACGCTTAAACGTTAGAAAATTTAACAGGTACGTACAAATATGAGTTGTATATGCTTGTGAATGAAGTATAATGGTGATGTTTGTGATCTAGCTGGCCGTTCCATTGTGATATCGTTTCTTCCTTTTAGGCGTCTGTTTAGCGTGTGTGCGTGTACGTCTGTGGCCAGAAAAAGTTCCTGGTGGCACTACGCACATTTTTTCCGCACGAACTCCACCGTAAGTTCCTTGTCTAATTGCTATGTACTAATTAACTTTTTTTACCTAATACTCCGAAGGCTTACACTAAATACTTTCTGTTTTGTTGTACTTGTGCAGAATTAGGATTTTGTAATCCAGTAAACAGTTTCGGGACTTGTAAAGTTTGCCCTGGCTCTATCGGAAAATTTTCAACACTGATCTAGACGAAATTTTTCTTTCTGCCTAAAAATCAACTTTTTAATCTTTTTGCTCTCTGTTTCATACTATAAGACTTGTTAATTATTATTGAACATTATATTATAGGTACTTTATGAGTCCGAATGCAATTAATGACTGAAATTAATTATTTACAGGTTATTACATGCGGGATAGCGATACTATTAGGAACACCATCTGACCACACACACAGCATTGCGTGAACGTCTACGACGGTACAATTTAATATTCGGAACCAAATTATTCTGTGTTCCTAGCATAATATTAATATTGTTACATCCGAATTAATGCTATACCTTTAGTTTACCGCATTTTATTTTTAGTATCATTAAACTGTCTTAATTGCAGATAATTTACCACAATTACAACGGACTGCGGCTATATCAAGCGCCAAAGTAAAATTCACCTTAAATAATCGTTTGTCAACTATTTGAATAATTTATTATAATTTTAATGTATTATAGCAATTGATCAGTTATATCTGCTGTAAATATCAGTGTAACCATTTGCAGGCTGACATTACGACTGTGCTAGCATCACAACGCAAGTCTATATGGCTGAGCAGGAGCAAAGGTCAAAGCGGAAAATGGGACCAACAGAGTAAGCTGATTTCGTAAAAATATTCAGTGAAGCAAAAACATTTTTCTATAGCATAATTTTTACTTTTCATGATAATCAATTTCGGTTTTCAAAATTTATCACGTATATACTGCTACTGAATAATATTCAATCTGCTGTACAACCAAATCAACCAAGTCTTGCATCTGTTTATCTTTATTTTATTTTAAGTGTAAGCAAAATAAAAATACAGTAAAATCAAAATTATTCAATAGTTCAAAGACATCGATACTATTTAAGTCATCAGTCAGCAGAACCGCCAGTGATGTCGTGCCAGAGTTATTTGCAAAAATGGAGCAGCAAAGAAAACACAAGCCAGCTCTCACAGCGCTTGCTGCGGCTTGTATAATTATCCTGGTGATAATAATTCTAGTAGGCGATATTATTCTGCCTATCGCAATAGCGACAATACAGCAACAACAACAGCAGCAGCAGCAAGAGCTTGATAAAAATCAAACAGGAACGTTATTTTCGTCGACGTACCCGAACGGGAGCGTCGTCAAGTCCGGCAGTATCCTTCGTTTATCATAGGTAAGCTTAAAGCGCTTTACCTGGTCCACAGCATCAATTTCAAGGGTCCGTTTATTACGCCGTATCACGGAAGAATACCGTAAGGGGTACACTTGAGGTCCAGGGGTCGTCCAGAGTGAAGTGAAAGTATTTAAATTAAGTGTTTTCTTGATAGTTCGATTGAGTGTAAAACCTTTAACTTTGCAGACATGCTTTCCTTTGTTCGTCACATAAGCATAAGATTTAGGAGCGCAGACGGTGACCTCTGTGATGAATTCACCATCATTTAATTCGTTTGTCAAGTCCCCCATGTAGTTTCCCAATGGAACTTCAGGATCTCCTTGCCGATGAATCCACATTAAGGAATCAGTATCAAAATATATCAGGTTACGTCCAACTTGAGACATATAATTGTATAAGTGAAGGCGGGCATGGGCCGTCGTGAACCTAAATCATCCAACCAATAAATATTTTTAAAAAGAACATATTTATTATATTTAATTTACACTTACGCCGCAAGGATAACATTAGTCTTTGGGTTAACTGGAATAAAGTCTTCCTTGGACTTGTACGCAACTTGAATAACGGTGTCACTGAAGAATTCGATATTGTGAATTTCCAACGCATCATTTAATAAAAGTTCGTAAAAATCTTTGGGCTCGGAAATGAACTGTGTAGACAATCTATCCTCGCGCATCCCGAGTCGGCCCCAAAAACTACAAAGAGAATAGAAACGTTAAGCAATTTCAGCTAATGTATACCTAATGAAACAGAAGACATACTTGTTTAAAAATAACTTTGCAAGGGCGCGAAGCCCCAGGTTTTTTTCCACTTTCTCGGCGTCAATAGATGCACCTTCTCGAAGTAAAAATTCTTCCATATACTGCTTTTCTCTTCTTCTGTTTTAACATTAGAGGGCCAACCGCTGGCTTCCGTTTTTAATTTCAAGAAATGCTGGATGTACTCTTTAAATAAACCTTCGCGAGAACTCGGAAAATGCCAAATTTCGTAGACTTTTACCACCGTATATCCCAAGGATAGTGCCTTAATGATTTCCACAGAGCACCAGACGCCCGTAAGTGATCTTTCGGCGTCTGTGTGCTGACAGCTAGAATTTTGCTGCGTTTCAGCACATAGCCGGCATAGCGGAAAAGTTAATTTTTCGGTACGATAAGGTAGAACAGGTAACCATAGACTTTTGGGCGGTAGAATGGTCAGGTAAAATAGTCCAAAATAATTTTCCAAGTTTGGATCAAAGTCCGCAGTAATTCGCACGTGTGGGCCAACTGGATATCTTTTCCGCGAATTCACAAAGGGATATTCCGAAATGACATCGGCAAACCTAAAAAAACACCTCCCATTAAAATTGAAATTATAATCTTTACTTAACTAGTTGTACCGTATTTGTTCTCCGGGCTCGCATTTATAATGCAACCGTGTCCCGTTGGTCCGGCCGCCATATAGAGCATCGCGGGGTTGAAGAGGTGCGTGAACATGAATATCTTTTATTGTTTCACGAAAATCCTCATCGTCTACCAATTTCTGATCGTACTCGCTTTCCCAAATTTTAATAACAGAGTATCCCATTTGCTCAAGGGCAATTTCCCGTTGGACGGTTGCCGCATGCAAATCCTCCATCGTTTGCTTGAGATGAGGATTTACAAATGTGCGTTTCGTGGTTGCGGGATTGCCGTGCCAGAAGTCGCCATAGAATTCGTAAATAATTTCCGCTTCTTCGTCATAGCCGTCCACGTAAAATTTTCCAATCTTCTTTTCCCTTGCAAGTGCTTTGCCTTCCGTCATTTCAATGTAGCACAACCATTTACCACATTTGACTGATTGCATGCGCTGACTAGGGTTTTTTACAATAGCAATAAGGTTTTTTTCCAATATCCGTGCGCGCCAGAAAAAATGGCATATACCCGCAATTGTTAGCGCGGAAGTAAATGGGCAAAGCCCGCCTGAAATACCCATGAACAACTTTCGGAATTCTTGAGAGCAGACGCGTAGAGTGTTAACATCCTGTTTGCAGTATTTGACGAGCTCCTCGTTGACATTGTACTTCCCTTTCTTTTTTCTCCGATCTTTTCGATAAAATCCTTTGATAAAGTCTTTTCTTTCTTTGTTATTCATCAAGCTATAGTTGAAATCCTCCCTTTTAGGATAGGGAATAATTTTGCCAAAATTTTCTGGGCGATTGACCGGATGAGGGAATTTACCCTTTTGCTCTGTCGCTCCAAACGCTTGAGCCCAAGCGTCGAGCGATTGGGGATTGTAATTTAAAGTATCACGAAATTTTATGCCAAATTCAGGTACATCCAGTTGCATAATTTTTGAGCCGTTCATTATGAGCTTTGGAACTATCCCATTTTTTAATAACCATTTCAGAACAAAAAAACCGTCGAACGCCCGAAGGTTGTGGGCCAAGACATAAAAGTTTTTAAATGATCCGGAAAACAAAAACTCGCAAAATTCTGTTGTTATATCCCGGCCGATATCGGACGAGTCGGCAGGAAAAATCCATTCCTGGCCGTTGTCGTTTTGGATAACGGCCAGGTTCGGAATAAAATTGCCCGTTTCCGGACACGGGTAAGTCTCAAAATCGAAATAGAGAAACTGGGCCTGTTCGTGCTTTTCGAGATCCTGGTCCGTCAGGACTTCGGGCTCAATGTAGCAAACATGGTCATTTGTTACGTGTTCTTTGCACACCGTGCAAAAAATCTCACCGCACACGTGGTCCGTGGTACGAAAAGCTCTGGAGACAAATGATTGGCAAGATGAACAGACAAATAGCGTTTGACATACCGTAATCCCGTTTTCTCCCGAGCCAGCAGCGCGGTGATGATTGAAACACTCTTCACCGTTAAATGTTCGGCAGCAGTCCGAACAGTATATTCTATCTTCTCCAGGATTACATTCGAATCGCAGGCATTGTTTGCAACGGTATTGGCATCGATGGCGATTTTTATGATCGTATCCGCGACTGCAACGGTCGCACCAGTATGATGTTTTGAACCAAGCCGGCAGGCTTTTCAAGACATCAAAATGGTTATTATGATGTAGCAGACGAATCTTTTTTTCGGCATATTCGCCGGCATAGACAATCGTATTGAGGTGGTCGACGCTCGTTATCAGGATTTGGTAGTCCGGTAAGGCCATTTGAAACTGTTGAACGTCTTCCAAAGTATATTGTCGAAGTTCTAGTCCTGCGCTAGCAATGAGTTCGTTTGCCATTTTTGTCTGCAGCGTTCTGTCGGAAGCCGTACAGAGTCCTTTGGTGCGATACAAGCATCTGTACAGCGGTATATTATCATCTGCGAGGGCCTTAGCTATAACAAGCGCACGAGCCAGACAGAGGTTGTCTGAATTACGCACAGGTATTACGCTCCTCATGGTCTCCAGCTTTTTGCGCAATAATAAAGGAACATCGTATCGACAGGATCCAGCGGGAAGGTTGGAATGGTGAATTTCCAGCTCAAAAGAATCATCCAGTACAAATTCTTGGTTTGAATTGAGTACGCGGGAAACTTCTTTCATCAATCGCGCAACGGTTAACTGATCACGACGAATGAAAGGTGTGTGAATAGGGTACGAGAGGTGACGGCTATGCAACTTGATTCTTACCCGTTCGTGATCTGGGATGTCAGTAAGGATTTCATTTAAGATTTCGTTCAAAATGGCTGTTATGACATCGGGAATCTCAGCAAAAGGAATATGATTGAGCTGATGAACTTTGCAAGCAAATCTTTTACACGTCATCTGATAACGGCGGTTGTAAAAATCATTTATCGGTTTCAACACAAAAAAGTTCTTTATATGAAGCGGGTCTTCGGTAACATCGTCATCATTAACAGCATTAGTATCGTTATCATTATCAGAATCAATTAAATCAGCAGCAGCATCAGCAACTATGCGAGGCATTTTCGCAAGCAGAAAGGTCACAGCAACTGGTTCTTAATGACAGAAAAGTGTTCCTGACACTGCTTTACAAATTCTAACTCATCTGACTTTATATCAACACAATTTTTTATGGTATCGCCAGATCTGATACGTACAGACATGGCTGAGTCATCGGAGGCAGTCGTAGTACGGTTTTCATGAACAAAAGCTGCTTGGGTATTGGACGTGGTGTCGATAATGCACCACGATAGGGTTTCCGGATGCGCATTGGCGGTGGAGGCGGAGACTGTTTTTTGGCGGTATTTTGCAAAAGCAGGCGTATTGGTCCATTCTATAATCTTTTCCAGAATATCCATTCCGACAACCAGTTCATTGCACCGTGTATTTTTATGGCGGGCAATAACGAACTGTACGTTGGATTTTTTATGCAACCGGTAGAAAGCCATGAAAGGATTATTGGATCCTTTTCTAACAAAGATGCTATACGCATCGCGGTACTGTGAATAACTTCGGAAGGTCCTATCGTCCCGTTTATCAGTAAAGGTCTGGTAGAGCCAGTCCACGGATTCAGC